GCAGGGCAGGTCTAGCTGAAGAGGAGTTACTGGGAGGGGTTGTTTGTGGCACTTACTACAGCCACCAGGGTGGGTTGGTAATCAGTGCAGGGCAGGTTTCAGTAGGCCATGCCTGTGCTGTTTGTTGGTGTGTTGTTAAGCGCACGGTGCAGGTAGGCAGGATGTAGCGGGGAGATTATTATGTGTGGAGCTAAGATGAATATGGGAGAGAGAAGAGAGGAACAGGAGCAAAAACATACAAACAAACAAAAAAAATGCTAGGGGAGCTTGCTGTTGGAGTGGGGAGATGAGAGACTATGAAATGGAGAAAAACAGAAAGGGGAAGAGGAAAAAAAGTAAAGAATAAATAAATAAAAATTGGAAAGGTTAAAGAACCGCAAGGTTCCCAGGGATCCCACCAGTAGAGCTACGAGGTCTGGGGAAGTCACTATCAGGTGTTGCAGTACAGCCTGTCTAGAAGGTGTAGAAATATACAAGACCAAGTATTCAGGGAACAGAAATAGAAGGAAGATATAGAGAGACAAGAAACTGAGTAATGAAGAAAGATAAAAAGGCCAAAAGAGGGAAAAGAAAATGAAAGAAATTTAAAAAAAAAGAACAAGAAAAGCCCCCAAAAAAACAGGAAAAAAAAAAAAAAAGCAATAAGAAATGCCCTGAGGGTTCTCTCTGCACATCTGTGCAAGCCAAGGGGTTAGTCTCCTTCCCACGCAGCACCTCCTGGCCAGAAAGGGCTCCCAACTCAAGAAAAGGAAAAGAAAACAAACAAAGAATTCAAAACAAACAAATGAACAGAAGCTCTAGGATTCCACCAGAGCGGCAGCCCAGACCGGGAAGCAGCTCCACACTTGAACAGAGCTCCACAGCCCCTCAGGAAGAAGCAAAGATGGTGAATGGAGACAGGTATTTGAGAAAAAGGAGGGGGAGGTGGTGAGAGGTAAGGAAGAAATCAAAAGAAGCAGATAAAAAAGCAACACTAGCAGCCAACAAATGGCACTCAGAGCCATCTAGTGTGGGCTGGTGGAATCCAAGCAGCTGGTGTTTTTCCAACAAGAGACTGTGTTTGCCGGAAGCAGAGGGCGACGAGTGTGGGTGAAGAAGGATAGGGAGTAGGAAAGCTTATATCACAAATTACCAGAGCTCTGCAGCCCCTCAGGAAGAAGCAAAGATGGCGCACAGAGCCAGGTATTTCAGCAAAAGGAGGGGGAGGTTGTGAGAGGTAAGGAAGAAATCAAAAGAAGCGGAAAAAAGCAACACCAGCAGCCAACAAAGGGCACTCAGAGAGCCGGCCTGTTCAGGAGTGTGGAATCCAAGCAGCCGGTGTTCCCCGGACAAGAGATTGTGGCTGCGGGAAGCAGAGGAGGCCGAGTGGGGGTGAAGAAGGTTGGGGGATGGGAAAACATATATAACCGCAAATTACCGGTTGTTTTGTCTCCCGCTGGAAGCTCTGTGAAGCTGCTTTCTCGTATCCCGTTTGCTGGTCTCCAATAGGAGTCCAAGATGGGAGATCCGCGCTGCGTTAGCTGGTAGGAGACCTCTGCATGAATGTCTCCTCGCTCTCCATTCTCTGTCAATTTTCTCACTCCATTTGGTGCTTGACTGAGTTCTTTGTCTCTTCATTTGATGTTTTAGGGTTTCAGGATTATTGTTTTCTCTGTTCGGCTTAGTTTTTCGGATCTTTGCTGTGGAGGGACGGCAAGGTGCTTCTGCCCAGAGCGCCATTTTGCCGGAAGTCTGTCTGTTATTTAATTTTAAAGCACAAGATAGTATCTCCTCTTATGGTCTTCTCACTGGCTGATATACGTATGCTTGACCTTCATGACACTGTACAATAGGTAAAGTTAGTCATGCTGTCCTTCCCCAACCACAGTTCCCCTTTGCTTTTGTGCCCAGTACTTTCTTGCATCCTGGAACCGTTCTTCCCAGCACTTTTCTTGTGGTGTGCCTCTCTAAACCACCTTCACCCTGCAAGAGAGAACTACCTTTCAATCTAAAATATTCAAAAACATGAATGTAGTACTATTTCTGCTGTGGTAAGAGCTGACTGGAGGGAGAGGCTTGTTGGGCAGATCCCAGTATCTGTCCAATCACAGCACAGTGCAGTCATCCTCTCAGCCTTCCCCACTGTGCACCCTCCAATGTTTAGTTGCTCTTTTCCTATGTGATCCAGTCACTTATTTGATCCCTTCCTTCCTTCCCCTTACCAGCAGAGTCTCCCCTACACACTGGTGTTTATCTTCCTCCTATTCACATATTCACCCCTCCACCTAAGTGATCCCACTGTCCCCTTTCCCAGATCTGTCACCAACAAGGTCATCTGTCCTTAGGATCACTGAAGGATGCTTTATCCTAGATGTTCACTCTCTTTACCGCTCTCCATGCTTTCTTCCTGCTTTGCCCTGCCTCAGAATGAGAAAAATCTCCTTTTCATTTCTCTGTTGGTGTCTCAAAGTCAGTAGAACGCAGATGCTATGGATTTAATTGTGTCTCCTAAAAGTCTATATTGAAGTCCTAATCCATGGTACCTGTGAATGTGACCTTCTTTGGAAACAGGGTATTTGAGGGTATTATCAATTAACATGAGGCCATAATAGAGTAGGGTGGGTACTAAATCAATATGAGTGTTGCCCTTATAAAAAAGGAGAAGAGGCACAGAAAGACACAAAAAAAGGAAGATAGCCAAGTGAAAATGAGGGTAGAGATTGGCATGATTTACAAGCCAAGGATCACTGTCCCTCACCAGAAGCTAGGAGAGAGGCAGCCAACAGATTCTCACTCAGAGCCCTCAGTAGGAGTCAGCATGGCTGATACTGACCCTGATTTAGGACTACTAGCCTCTAGAGCTGTGATACAATAAATTTCTGTTTTTACAAGCCACTTATTTGTGACAGTTTGTTATGGCATCCCTAGGAATTTTACACAATAGAGAAAGTCAAAGAAGTTGGTTCAGCTTCTTTTACTTATAAGCAACTGTCTCTCCCATATAGACATATCATATTAGCAGAGTAATCCACAGTTTCCCTT